TGTCCTGACCCTTCCTGGGGTGTCCCAGTCCCTTCCTGGGCTGTCCTGACTCTTCCTGGGGTGTCCCGGTTCCTCCCAGGGTGTCCTGGTCCTGTCCCAGGGTGTCCTGATCCGTCCTGGGGTGTCCCAGTCCCTTCCCAGGGTGTCCCAGTCCCTCCTAGGATGTTCCAGTCCCATCCCAGAGTGTCCTGGCCCCTCCTGGAGTGTCCCAGTCCCTCCTGGGATGTCCCAGTTCCTCCCACAGTGTCCTGGCCCCTCCTGGAGTGTCCCAGTCCCTCTTGGAGTGTCCCAGTCCCTCCCCAGGGTGTCCCAGTTCCTCCTGGAATGTTCCGCTCCCATCCCAGGGTGTCCTGGTCCCGTCCCAGGATGTCCCAGTCCCTCCTGGGATGTCCCAGTTCCTCCCACAGTGTCCTGGTCCCTCCTGGGATGTCCCAGCCCTTTCTGGGGCATCCCAGTCCCATCCCAGGGTGTCCCAGTCCCGTCCCAAGGTGTCCTGATCCCTCCTGGAATGTCCTGGCCCTTCCCAGGGTGTCCCAGTCCCTTCTGGGATGTTCCAGTCCCATCCCAGGGAGTCCTGGTCCCTCCTGGAGTGTCCCAGTCCCATCCCAGGGTGTCCCAGTCCCTCCTGGGGTGTCCCAGTCCCATCCCAGGGTGTCCCGGTCCTGTCCTGGGATGTCCTGGCCCCTCATGGAGTGTCCTGGCCCTTCCCAGGATGTCCCAGTCCCTCCTGGGATGTTCCAGTCCCATCCCAGGGAGTCCTGGTCCCTCCTGGGATGTCCCAGCCCTTCCCAGAATGTCGCAGTCCCCTCCTGGGATGTCCCTGTCCCATCCCAGGGTGTCCCAGCCCCTCATGGGGTGTCCCAGTCCCTCCTAGGGTGTCCTGGCCCTTCCCACAATGTCCCAGGCCCATCCCAGGGTGTCCTGGTCCCGTCCCAGGGTGTCCCAGGCCCATCCCAGAATGTCCTGGCACTTCCCAGGGTGTCCTGGTCCCTCCTGGGGTGTCCTGGCCCTTCCCAGGGTGTCCCAGTCCCATCCCAGGGTGTCCCAGGGTGTCCCGGTCCCTCCTGGGGTGTCCTGGCCCTTCCCAGGGTGTCCCAGTCCCACCTGGGGTGTCCTGGCCCTTCCCAGGGTGTCCCAGTCCCTCCTGG